TAATTTTTTTTAATAATCAAAGTCTGCTTAACTATGATAGCTAATTTACTATTACAAGTTGGTAGTGCATGGAGTTGGTCTTGATGAATACAATTTTTTTTGGGGTATAATAACCAAATATATCATCTCACGTAAGGAATTAATTCCTTTTAGGCATATGGCTACATCTCAAGACTTAAGTGTTGTTCATGAATCGAACTATTCACCATTAACCTAACACAATATATAAAAATCTAGTAAGGTCTTGCACAAATAAACAATACAACTTGATAACACATAGATTGGTCTTGAATGTTTGCTTACTTTGATATTTAGACTTAGGATTCAAGGTTGCTTGAAAACCTTAGCTTCCAATTGAAAAACCAGCATGAACATCTATACCCAACTATTTGTCGATTTGTACAATAATGACTATTTTATAATTCCAATATGTGGAGCGGTAGGTAGTTGTACACTTCAAATTTTCTAATTTATTTCTAGCATCCTTTAACCAAATAATCTTTTTAATTTCAAGGTTGGCTTGTAATATTCAAAAGAAATCAAAATGGAAAAAAGTGAAGAAAATACTGAATTTGGTCCTGAGTGGGGATAACATTATTAAAGGTATCTATACCCATCAATTGATATAAAACTACTCTAAACATGTTCACTGAATCCGTTAAGAGTGATCTGAGAACAAAGACTAAAATCTTAATAATAATTTAATACAACAAAGTTGCAAAGGCTAATGTCTCATACATAAACCCCAATACCATTCCTATAAATTTTAAAAAACAAGGCTTGTACTCCATCATATCTTCCATTCATATAAAGCCAATGGGCCTATACAAGTGATGGTTTGCAATTTTGTATACAAAACTAAGATCCGACTATATATCTATGGCCCGAAAAGATTAAGCAAAAACAAAAAAAGAAGTTTAGATATAAAGTTAAAAGTATATTTATGTAGCCTTGCTATAGAATGTATGTATTTTTTTAAAAGAAAAAATATATACCCATAACATAATTTACATGGAATAACAAATGTGTTAAAAAAACATACATAACAATGTATATAAATATTTGTTTTTTTACACACACAGACTAAAATTGGAATAGGCAGAATATCGGGTAAAAAACGTGCGATTGAGTTAAAATCTAAAACTAAAAAAAACATAATTTATTCTCGCCTGGCCTAAAAAGGAAAATATAAAATACAATAAAAAAAGAAAGAAGAACGACACACGAAACACGTGAGAGGCGAAAATATCTAGGTCATCTAGAACCATCGTTTCTTCGTGACCGCAAAAAACGTTACCCACCCAATCGATAACAACAAACACATTCAATCTTAACCGTTCGCATAGTCGGTGCCATACAAATCGCATCCGTTCTTTTTTGTTACAACCCTATATAAATAAACCATGACCCTTCTTAACCATTCATCGCGCGAAATCCTATCGGTGCCTTATGACTTGGTCAAATCGTTTTCCCCAATATTCACGATGCGTGTACATCAGGGATCGCGATTTCTTGATCAGTTCTTGATCTGGTTCCTAGTGGTGGATTTATCAGATTATCTCAATTTCACGAACTCGATTTCTCTGAATCGTTCTAACCAGAATCGTTTTATCTAATCGCGATTTTGACGAGGTTGGTTTCAGATCTGCGTTTTTTCGATTCTTGTGCGTGTGTTTTCTTGCTTATTATTCGATCTAATTATTTTATCTTTTTAGGTGATGGTCGTCATTGCCAATTGTAGTTTTTGCAGTGGATCTAAATGAATTGTTCTTGTTCTATTCCGAGAATTGACAAATAAGCCTCCACGCAGGCTAGGATTTGTTCTATCTGTTCATTGATTTTAATCGGTAAGGTTTATTTCTCTGTTTCTTGATTCTGATGCTTTATTGCTCTATATTCTTCTCTAACACTAAATAATTTTGAATATTCGACCTTTTTAGGTCACGGTGACGATCGTTGATTTTTGCAGTGGACCTTGACAACAAGTACGCATTTGAGGTTGCAGTTGGTAGAATATCAAATAACGCGAGATTGATTATATAATTTCATTTGTATTGGTATGATCCTTTAGGATATCACAATGCGATATGGTTTATGAAATTCATTGATTGGGATGAAGTAGTTACGGTTGGAGAGAGATGTGAGGCATACCGATACAGTAATAAGGTATCTCTGTTTATTAGTTATTTTCAAATTTGTTATACTACTTGACCTTTGCCATGTCAGGTGCGCTTGCATGGCAGGTCAAAAATAAAAGATCAATAAAATCATGAGTTTTTTGTTTGGAGGGGAGAGTTTTTAGGGGCTATTTTCTTTTTATTTGCCCCTGCTCTCTCCTTCTTGTGTGTGTTGTGTTTTCTTCTTCCTCTCCCTCTCTTTCTCCATCCCTTTCCCTATTCTTCATACATTTACTCTATAGTTGAACACGCGGTTTTAATTATTTATGAAAGTCACGATCATTATCTCAGTTTGGTACCAAATACAACCAAGGTCTCGTGAAAAAGGTATATGATTCTCAGTATATAGTTTTTTAATGATCATTATCTCAGTTTTCTATCAAATACAACCAACTCAGGCCTCATGAATAAGGTACATGATTCTCAATATATAGTTTTTTATGCTTACCTATTGGCACCGTATTAACACATCAGAATCAGTATTTTTACAATTCCTATTGAACCGATTTTAATGATATGCTGATTTAGTGCTTTGATACCTACAATTTCTTATTAATACGTAATGTTTTCATAAATTATTAATTCGTGATCATGATTAAGTTCTACAATTAATTTAAATTTAATGATCGATAAGTGATTAATTAGATATCTATGCATAGTATTAACTTTCGCGATCCTGAGAAGCTTATGTCTACAACATATGTACAACTTAATTATATGATCCAGAACAAGTATTGCAGATGGTAATATTTGGTTAGAGACTATTGGTTAATGCTGAATACCCCGTGTTAACTAAAGCAGATATTCACCTTGCATGCATATTTCTAATACATCTACCATGCGACCCAGATTATTTCACAAGCAGCTTTTGTCTCCCAACACATGCCAAACATATGAAAAGAAACCTATCCATAATATGCATTACTTTAATTCTGGGGTTGTCCTCAACCCTTTTCAGAGTGTTCATTTTAACCATTAGTGTACAAAGGCTTATGACCTCATTAATTAATTTAGATTTTGCCTAAAAATGTATCATTGTTGTACTAAGTCCTATAAGACATTTTAATGGCTCTAACTATGAGATTTTCATGCCACATGAAGAGAAGAACTAAGTTGCAGATGCCTAAATTGTTTATTGAGAATTCACGTGCCATTATATTTTTTCCACTATCGCGTTCCTATATTTTGAACCTAAGTCTATTCTTCTTATCATTCATCAAGTAATGCTTATATTTGACAAATATTCTTACAATTATCTCGTGTATTTAGAATTATACTGTTCTTGGTTGGGTTAATGGCAGGAAAGACACTGTATTATAATTCTAGTAAGCGTTACTTTGGTCTTTTGGGATGTGCAAGGGGGTTTCCTTATTAAATGTTTTAAAATGCTGATATGTACTTTCCAAGTCGCAGTGAGTATGGCTGTATCCGTAAGTGTTGTTGTATGTGCAGTTTTATTCATCAATATCAGTGTTTCATCTGTAAAGATTGTGCACCAACTAGTGGTGCATTATGGAATGTATCTTTGTAAAGACATGACATGTCTAGCTGGTGACTGACCGAAGCCGTGAAGGTCTTATTCTTGTTTGAGGATCCCGGTTGCTGCCCACAGTTCTCTGTATCTTAGAAGGTCATCTGCTGTTGTTGTGCGAGGTATTTTCAATTGATCGGTTGATAGTGGATATTGATTCGTGCTATCTATATCTTAGAGATCAAACGTTGGCTGGAGACTACTTGATACAACTCTCACATTTACTTCAGGAGTGGGACCGAGGGTAGTTATATGTTTTGTTCAAATTTTGCACGCCCTTTCTGTAGTTAGGAAGGAGCTTAACTGCAGAGTTGCTCGTTTTGTTTCTATGTTTCAAGGGTTAGTTTTTATTCCATAACGGTAAGCTATTTAGTCATGAGGTCAATCTTTTACTATCCTTCGTTATTAATTGAAACATTTCTTGTTTGCAGGTCACTATTTTATGTTACTCGTTGTGGCACTAAGTGATATGGCTGTTGTTTTGCTGGACATAAGACGATCACATCTTCAATCTTGTCATGTTTCTCTATACCAAGATAAATCCGACGATGGCTGATGTTTATAATCTCCCACTGTTTGCGAAAAGTTTCGTCCTTGTTCATTAGTTATTGAGAAGGTTTATTTTTCTTCATTCGTGTTGGAAAATAGTTTCTATATACCAAGTTAGGTCCGATGTTGACTGATGTTTAAACCTCAGTCACTCTTACTGAATTACATCCTTTTTATTTAGTTCTTGCGAATGCGGTACTAATCTATGCTCGATGTTTATTTTTCTTAAATTTTAATCAATTCAGTTTGGTAAAAAGAACATTTGATAGTTGGTAGAGAATAAACTGTACCAGTCCTCCTATTTGATCGGTTTTTCGTGTGATTTATTTGAGAAAAACCACGAGTTTGGTTTTTGGTTGCGTTATTAAATCATTCTTTGTTGTAATCTCGGTTTTGTCGTTAAGTGTAGTTGAACACTTATAAATTAGTCTAATATATATAACAATGTCAACATACAAATTTATGCATATTATTTTTAGTATAAAAAAATCTTACATTAATTTAACATGTTAGGCTTAAACATATCTGAGTTACCATATTCCATAATTTTTCATTGGATATTGTAGATCGCATGATTTGAGTTATTGATCTCAATGTAGAATGCTGCTGCAGGGACAAGTCTACATTTACCTTCTACAGTTTGGGCTGGTCTCTGTAGTTATTTGGATATGGATTGTCTGGTATATAATCGGTTTATTGATGGACAAGGAAATTTACTTTGATAAATGATTCTCCATTTTGATGGATCCATAAGCTCAAATTGGAAAGAGCGCCCAAATGCTATGCATGGGAGGATGGTGGTTCGAGTCCACCTGGATCCGATGGCTCGTGTCATGTTAAAACTGAACTGTAGTTGTGGTTGTGGTCAGGAAGATAATAATTGGGATCTTAAAAAGCTAGTAATAATGAAAACAAGGTGCTTCTGTCATGTTAAACCTCAGTGCTAAGCTACACAAACTTATTGGACTGAATGGGAGAACCCTGAAATGTGAACAACACAGGAGCTATCACCGTCTACAACAGGTGCACTGTCTACCATTGTTGAGCTATCACCATCGATTGGGTTCTACTTCTCTCCCACTCTACCTGATCCCGGTCCTGAATGATCTGACCCACGGAATAATTTTTTGTTGATATTCCTATGTAAGTTATATGTGTTAAAATTAGTGTATGATAAATATTTTGATGTTGTGAAATAACTGTATGATTCTTGTTACAAACACCTTAATATATACTAGTTAATTTGTTCATGCAATGGGCCTCCACGATGAAGTTTTTATAGCAGATAAAATATTGGATTACTAAGAATGATACTTGTTATTTGTTAGAGACTAGTTACATATATTCAAAATGAATTAATTCTTTACTCATAAAATGATGAAGAAATACCATGAAACTTATTCTTCACTTTTCCTTCACGCACAAACAATGAAGCTCAACGTGTCTGACATTAACATTGGGAAAACTGTTTTCCCCTTTTTAGTAAAAGAGGTGATCTTTCCATTTTTTAGGTTAGTTGCTCATATTAATTCCTGTGAATTTTATACAGAAATAAAACCTGTGATGTTAGCGTGGGATAGTTGAACTATCAACATCCTTCGCGTGTTATTTAAAGTTAGCTAGAAAGTAAGAGAGCAACCGAAAGCAGCAGCAGCAGCAGCAGCAGCTATCACATGATCAAAGAGAGATATGTTTTTGACATTTCTTCATCATTCAATTACAACTTAAATCAATAAAAAAAGTATGCATAAATGATTGAGAATATAATGGAGGTAACATCAACTTGTCTCTTCGTGGTCGATTTTTTATTTGGTTGGTTTGATTTTTTCTCATGACATTTGCACACATAGGATAAAGTGGAAGTGTGTATTAGGAAGATAACTCTGATAACATAACTCTATTCTCATGGTTCAACATTAACCACACATATATTAGTCTCACACAATTCAAATGGACCCAATTTTAAAAGGATGTGTGGTGACCTTGGTAGCTATTATTTGTATAGACTAAAATTAATAAGTAGCGTGCATTCAATCTTGCATATTTTACAAGAATTAAAATCAAAATTAAATAAATCACCACATAACATAAAGTAGGTATTAGGTCAAAGTATGGGTATTTAGAATAGAAAAATTCATTAGTTGTAGAAAGCAGCAATTATCAACTGGTTCTAGAAGCATTTGAAAAGAATCACTATGTGACTTTACTCTTTCCCATTAATACAGTAACATTTTCCTCAATCGTATAGGTTGGGCAATAATGCTTTTTTACACCCTCATCAACCATGTGGCATCACAAACAAGTGAGTTTATACATGGTATATTTATGTAAATATAGAATAAGAAATGTATATGATGCCTATAGTGATTTCAGAACAATTCTCCTGAATAATAAATATGGGCTATACAATAATACATGAATTAAAAATCCTTTAATTATTACATTAAAGAAATCATATATATCTACATATCATATAATAACAATACTTCATATATAAGTGTTGTAGTGTTTTATTTAAGATTTAGATGTTCAAATACCATCTCTTTTAGTTTTTCATTTACTTATGACAAGTTGTTTTTGTTTTTCTTCTATCTTTTGTTGTTTTTACTTTGAATAAAATCAGACACAGGAGTCAAGTCTTACCATTTTGGGTGGTTGTAAATAAGTGTCTTCTTGTGGAAAAGTTGTTGGATGACTCCAAAGTTCAAAACCCACTTTCAAGCTTAGAGGTTCTCTTTAATTGTCTCCTTTTCTCACCCAAACTTATGTGCAAATTTGTAGTCTTTTATGTTCCTCCAGATTCCACAGGTTTATGTAACCTTGTTAATGTTTCTTAGCATGGCCAATTATAATATAAAAAATATATAATTTTATGCATTTTCTTTGTTGACTTTTGAATGGATCTGTTGTAACGAGGAAAATAAGCCCCTATTCTTTATTCAATATCCTAATCATGCAATTTATGAGCTTCTTGAGACAGTGTATTAGTCCTTATTATTCTTGGTTCTGTGTGGCTTTCTTTTTGTTAATAGTTGTTTGTTCCTGCTTTTGTTTTTTATTGTCAGATATAGAGATTGGTTGTGGAAAAAAAGGAAGCACTGGTTTCCAAGAATACAGGAATCAACAATCACTATGTTTCATCTTTGGACCAATTCACAACAAGACCAAGAAAGCAAAGAGCTTTATGCTGAATCCAAGGTACTAAGTTGTTTTTGTTTAGTGATATTAAGCACTATTATACTTAAACTTTTTTACCACAGATTAAGGAGCTGAAGGGTGCAATTGGACCCTTATCTGGACACAACTTGAAGTATTGTACTGATGATTGTTTGAAAAGATATCTAGAAGCTAGAAACTGGAATGTAGACAAGTCCAAGAAGATGTTGGAAGATACACTTAAGTGGAGATCAAACTATATGCCTGAGCAAATCCGTTGGGTATGGTGTGTTTGGTTCTTGTTTTATTTTGGTGCTTAAATATGGGAAAATGATGTTTGCACACCAAAATTTGCAGACCAATTTTAAGCTAACTAATGATATACAAAACTTTGATTAGCAAAACTTGTATAGAATGAATGGCTAATGAATCTGAATAGAACAGTACATGTTGTTAATCCATATTGTGTACCTTGTTAATAGAAAGATAGAAGTATGTTGTCTTACTCCCGCACGCGGAGAAGTTGTTTCTAGGATTTGAATCCGTTATTGATGTTAAATTAGCGTTACAAAATTGGTGTCCATAAAGCAACTTTGATGATATGATCTGAATTCTGAAATGCTATTTGTTAGGATGAGGTTGCAATGGAAGGGGAGACAGGGAAATTGTACAGAGCAAATTTTCATGATAGACAAGGAAGGACTGTCCTTATTTTGAGACCTGGAATGCAGGTATCATGCCTTGTTGATATATGCTTTAGATTAAATAAATTAATTTGTCTCTTTAGTTTCCACTCAATATTTAATTTGGTCTGTAAAGTTCAAAACCATCTAAAAAAAGTCCAAAATTGTAAAAAAATAATAATGTAAAATGACCCATGTTATGTCCTTATACCCAGATCTTGTTTCTCTGAACTGCAAGGTGCATCTTACAGGTTAAAATGCAAATATAATTGTTGATTGGTAAATTAATGGTCGAAACTTGAAATTATGTATAAAAATATGAAGTTGTTATAATCAACTTCAATTACCTTATCCTCAAAATTAGGATGTCTTTAAAATTAAGTAAATAAAAGAAATTAATTTGAACTTTATGTGATATTATATTATCAGGGGGAAATCAGTAATTTAACCTATAGTTTATTTAACTATAAGTTTGCTGAGTTGTAATGCATATCTAAATTGAATATTTGATGTGTTGAAGAACACTTCCTCAATGGAGAATCAGATGCGTCATCTAGTGTATCTTTTGGAAAATGCTATGCTGAATCTTTCACAAGGACAAGAACAAATGGCATGGTTGATAGACTTCACAGGTTGGTCAATAACCAACACTCCAATTAAATCTGCCAGAGAAACCATTAACATTTTACAGAACCACTATCCTGAGAGGCTTGGCATTGCATTTCTTTACAACCCACCTCGTGTTTTTGAAGCTTTTTGGAAGGTTGCTTGATTTCCTGCATAATTATAATACTGGGTTCATGCTATTATTAGTATTAATGTTGAAGGTTATACTTCTATTTATGCAGATAGTCAAGTATTTCTTGGATAACAAGACATTTCATAAGGTGAAGTTTGTGTACCCAAAAAATAAAGATAGTGTGGAGCTCATGAAATCTTATTTTGATGAAGAAAATCTTCCTAAAGAATTAGGAGGAACAAGCATATTGACCTATAACCATGAGGATTTCTCAAGATTAATGGCTCAAGATGATTTGAAATGTGCAGCTTTTTGGGAATCTGATAACAATCTTTCAAACCATATTGGCAATGACCTGAGGCACTTTTCTGCAGCATAGATAGCTCTAGAGCCAGTTTGAAATAAAGCCCCAAAGACCTGAGGCACCTACCCTTGTGTTAGCTTAGTTGAGATATTAATACTAATAAGTGTACAGCCATTGACTCAAGGAAACTTAGGATTAAGGATGAATTCCTTTAGTTAAGGGGTGTTTGGTTTGTTTCTGTTTTCATTTTCATTTATCATTATTCTATCCTAGTATGTATACTAGCTCCTGAGCTAGCAGATTAGCTGAAGTGGAGGAACTTTTGAAAACATAGCTTAAGTACTACTTCAATTATATAAACTTGAAACTACCATGCTATTTTCTGTCTTATCAAATTTCTCAATCTGCTCCCAAAAAATTGATAACTTACATGAAAAATGCATTTCATACTAGTGTGCTACTTATAACCAACCGAATCACATGTTCATACAACGAATCTCATCAGACCGCAATGACAAAAACTGAACATCTATATTATCCTTTGGAGCAAGAAACATTCTTCTTATGAAGGTCAAAAACTAAGGTGGAAAGGAAAAAAAATCAAAATAAGTACAAAGGGTGCTACCATTTTAAGCAGTGGTAGCTAATTACCTTTAAACTTATAGAGCATGTAAATTCAAACTAGTAAAAGGGGTTATATGAACCGCCTTTTGAAATTATGAGTAGTTGCTTGGTATGAATGCACTAACAGACTAACCCCGATACCAACTCCTACACAGATGCCAAGGCCAATTCCAACACCAACTCTTACCCCAGAATTAAACCATGATAATTCACCATTTTCATCATCTATGTATCCTGTTCTTTGCCAATACATGCGGTTGTAATCCTCTTCTTGTTCTGGTTTGAAGCTTCTATAATCAGCTGCCTATTAAGCAA